GTGGGATTCTGTGCTCTGCATATCTTTGGCAGGGATTCTTTGTGGGGGCTATTTAATTTCTCACCTTTTAATTACATTAATTTGCAGTAGTTATATGTAACCTGAGAAGCTACTTTTAGGAACATTTTTATTTCTTCCTTTGTCCTACTTTTCCTGGATACTCTCCTGATTTCCTTCCTTTCCTTTCCTAGGCTGGTCTTAGAGCACCCTGTAATATTTAAATGCAGACCTTCCTTGAAGGCTTTATTAAAATGGGAAAGGTCGTTTGGGAAGCTTTGGTTTTTGTTCTGTGTTTCTGAAAACATTTTTCTTCCTGTAGGGAAAATCCTTAAGTCTTATTTGTGGGGCCCTTTCCTGGCTCCGTGACTTTGAACAGAAGAAACGTCAAGAGGAGGCACGTCTCCTTGAAACTGAAGCTGCCCCCTTAAATGATGGGAAGGACCAGCCCCCATTTTGCTCATCCTTCCGTCAAGAGACCCCCGGCACCCTGAGGCCTGCAGGAGACCCTGACTGGGTTACTCAGTTTGTTCAAAAGAAAGAAGAAAGGGCCCTGGTGGACCGACTAAAGGTGAGAAGTGTGAGTGGTCTAGGAAACAACTTCAGTGATTGTTTTGGGTTGATTCTGAGAGTTAGATGTCAAGTCTTTTCCTTTGCGGTGCTTCTTATCTCTCTGGCAGCTTTCTTGAGTACATGGCTCTGCGCCCTTACCGTCTTTTAAAAGCTGATGTCAACAGGTCTTTTCTAGACAAGGGGCTGGCAGTTCTCATTCATTACCCACCTGGGCGAGGAACCTGCCTCACTGTTGCCATTGGCAACATGTTTTAGTGATTACAAACTCAAGGAGTGCATTTGACTGAGAGGGCGTGGCCTTGGGAGGGAGTATATAGACTTCTGCAGTGAGCAGGAGGCTGAGGTCTGGCGAGGTTCAGGGTCTGCTGACAAGATGCTGCGAGATGCTGCAGCAACCTGGAGTGCTGGCCGGGGACGGCGACCTACCCCGTGTGAAGAGGCCCTAGGCTGAGCAGCCCCTGACTCTTCAGGAAAGGCCTGCCTTGGGGCCCCCTGAGGAGTTTCCTTCATGGCCTCTTCACCCTTTAGAAGGAGCACACCAGGAGAAAGGAGCGAGAAGAACGCCTGCAGCGGATGCGGCACAATGCACAGCTCAAGTATGCGGCCAAGCGCGAGGTGGGTGTCATATCCTGGAGTGGCTGGGATTATGTCCAAGCACTGTCACCCTGCTCGGGGCCTCTGGATGAGTAGCCAGGATCTTGGTCTCCTCTCTCTGAGCCCCACTGGCTAAGTTCTTATCACCCAGTGGTTGGGCAGCTTGAGCTGAGTTATTGATACCTCACGTATCGACACCAGTAAAACAGCGAGGCCTGTGTGAATGCCGCATGTGTGCTGTCCCTGGAGAGAGCCACATTGAGGCTGGCTCCATCCAGGAGGTGGGGACCCAGTACTGAGAGTTTTCTCTTTCCCCACCTGCAATGCAGAGACAGGAAGAAGAAGAGACCGAGCGTCTCCTCTGCCTCAGCAGGGAGGTACTGGCAGCAGGAACAGGGGCCGAGCCGCTAGAGCAGCTGGCATCTGGGGAGGAGGAGCTGGTCCTCTCCGAGTATGAGAGTGATGAGGAGAAAGGAACAGCTGATGGGTAAGACCGCGCTGCCCCACCTGTCGTCCTGCCCGAGCCTATGTGGGGGCTCCCGGGCAGGCAGCTCTTTCCCGTGCCCACATGTCACTCACAAGGCATCTGAAGGGATGGAGTGCCAGCCATGGCCCCTTTTCTCTCAGCCAGGGTCCTCCTTAGGGTGCATAAGTGATAATGACAGTGACAGTTGCCAGGCACTGGCTACATGTGTGTTAACTCTGTTATCCTCACAACAGTATTTGTGTCTCCCCTTCACACCTGAGGAACCTGTGGCCTAGCAAGGTGTGATGCCTTGGCCGAGGCTACCTGGACAGGCAGGGGGCAGCTGGGACTTGAACCTGCCCATCCAGCTCCAGCTCCAGCTCTCAGGCTCTTAAGTACCAAACTACGCCGAGTCATGTTTGTGACCTAAGCCATCAAAGCATCCTTAGCTGGTTTTTTTTTTTTTCACCTTAAGGCTTCTGTAGGTCCAGGCTTATAGGTTTCTAATTTGTGAGCTGTAACGCGTGGGTGAACCAGCACACATAGAGAACAACAGGCCATTTCTGCACCACACTGCCCCTGGAGAGATCCTCCGTTTCATTCATGCGTTAACTCACAAATGGCCTTTGAGTGTCCGCTTGGGCGGTCGCACATTTCTCGGTGCTGTAGATAGATATCAAGCTAAACAAAACAGACTTGACCCCTGCCCTCAGAGAGCTTGTGTTTCAGGGAGGGAGACAGACAATTAAATGTGAAAACAGCCCTTATTTGAAATTAGTACATTTACCTATGAGGACAATAAGACAGGGTAAAGTAGGTGGGGTGCTCTCTGTTTCTGTGATTTTGGGGGGGGGGTTTAGATGCCACATGAGATCATACAGCATTTGTTCTTCTCTGACTTATTCAGCAGAATGCTGTCAAGATTCATCAATATTATTGCAAATATCAGGATTTCCTTCTTTTTTTATGATTGGAAAATGTTCACATATATATCACATATATATGTATACACACCATGTTCTTGTGTGTGTGTGTGTGTGTGTATACACACACACATACACACACATATACATATATGTGTGTATATATGTGTGTATATGTCACATTTTCCTTACCCATTCATCCGTCAGTGATACAAATTGTTTCCCTATCTTGCTATTGTAAATAATGAAGCAATGAACGTGGGGTTGCACATATCTCTTTGAGGTAGTTAGTGACTTCATTCTCTTCAGATATATACCCAGAAGTGGAATTATTGGGTCATATGGTAGTTTTATTTTTAATTTTTTGAGGAACCTCCATAACTATTCCCCATCATGCCTGCACCAGTTTATATTCCCACCAATATCTTATATTCCCTTTTCTCTACTTTCTCACCAACACTTACCTCTTGTTTTTTTGATAATAGCCATTCTAAATAGGTGTGAGGTGAGATCTCACTGTGACTTTGATTTGTGTTTCCCTAATGACTAGTGATTTTGAGCATCTTTTCATGTACCTGTTGGCCATTTGTGTACCCTTTTTGGGAAAATGTCTATTCAGGTCTTCGCCCATTTTTTAATTGGATTATTTGTTTTTTTGCTATTGACTTGTAGAAGTTCCTTGTATGTTTTGATATTAAGTCCTCATCAGATATTTGGTTTGCAAATATTTTCTCGCATTCCAGAGGTTCCCTTTTCATTTTGTTGATTGTTTCTTTTGCTGTGCAGAAGCTTTTTAGTTTGATGTAGTCCCACTTGTTTATATTTGCTTTTATTGCTTGTATTTTTGGTGTCATATCCAAAAAATCATTGCCAAGACCAATTTGACATTGAGTTTTTTCCCTGTTTCATTCTAGAAGTTTTATGGTTTTAGGTCTTACATTTAGGTCTTGAATTCATTTCTAGGTAATTGCAGTGTAGGATAAGGGTCCAGTTTTAATCTTTTGCGTGTCCATTTCCAATTTTCCCAGCACCATTTATTGAAGAGACTATCTTTTCCCCATTGAGTATTCTTGGCTTCCTTGATATTAGTTGACCACATAGTCATGGGTTTATTTCTGAGCTTTCGATTCTGTTCCATTGGTCTCTTTGTTTTAATGCCAATACCATACTGTTTTGATTACTATAGCTTTGTAATATAGTTTGAAGTCAGGAAATGTGATGCCTCTAACTTTGTTTTTTTTTCAAGATTGCTTTGACTATTCATGGTCTTTTGTGGTTCCATTCAATTTTTAGGATTTTTTTCTATTTCTATAAAAAAATGCTATTGGAAACTTGATAGGTATTGTATTGAATCTATAGATAGCTTTGAGTAGTGTGGACATTTTAGCAATATTAATTCTTCCAATCTATGAACACGGGCTATCTATATCTTTCACTTCCTTGATTAAATTTATTTGTAAGTATTTTGTTGTTGATGCTATTGTAAATGGGATTTTTTTTAAATTTCTTTTTCAGATAGTTTGTTGTTAGTATATAGAAATACAGTTGATTTTTATATGTTGATTTTGTATCCTGCAACTTTACTGAATTTATTCTAACAGTTTTTGTTACCATCTTTAGAATTTTCCATGTATAAGATCATGCCATTTGCAAATAGTTTAATTTCTTCCTTTCCGATTTGGATGCCTTTATTTCTTTTTCTTACCTGACTGCTCTGTTTAGGACTTCTGATACTATGTTAAATAGGAGTGGTGAGAATAGGCACCCTTGTCTTGATTATGATCTTAGAGGAGAAGCTTTTCAACCTTTCATGGTGCCAGGTAAGTACTAGACTTATTGGGGGATCACTTCATAAATTATGTAAATGTCTAACCACTATGCTATATACCTGAAACTAATATAAAATAATATTTAAATGTCAACTGTAACCAAAAAAAAATACATGGGTGTTCATGGTCATGAATTACTGTAAAATGAATACAGAAATAATATCTCAAAAATTCTTAGGGAAAAAAGCTTTCAGCCTTTCCCCATTGAGTGTTATGTTCACTGTGGACTTGTCATATATGCCTTTATTACGTTGAGGTACGTTCCTTCTATACCCAATTTGTTGAGAGTTTTTATCGTAAAAGGATATTGAATTTTGTAAATGCTTTTTTGCATCTATTGAGATGATCATATGATTTTTATCTTTCATTGTATTATGATGTATAACATTAATTCATTTGCTTTTGTTGAACCATGCTTGCATCCCAGGGATAAATCCCACTTGGTCACGTTGTGTGGTCCTTTTAAGGTGTCATTGAATTCAGTTTGCTCATATTTAGATGAAAATTTTTGTATCTGTGTTCATCAGGGAAATTAGCCTGTTGTTTTCTTTCTTCTAGTGTCCTTATCTGGTTTTGGTATCAAGTGATGCTGGCCTCATAAAATGAATTTGGAAGTGTTTCCTCCACTTCAGTTTTTTGGAAGAGATTGAGAAGGACTGGCATTTTTTTCTTTAAATATTTGGTAAAATTTGCCAGTGAAACCATCTGGTCCTGGGCTTTTCATTGTTGATGCTCAGTGGCTTGGCCTTAAGCTCAGATTTCAGGACCTGGATTCAGACTAAGACTTCTGACCCTGCCCAGGGCTGAGATGTCTGGACTGCTCTATGCATCCCACTCTGGGGAAGAGAGGAGCATAAGTAACAGGTGCTCCATACACCTTTTCCCACCTGCCTCCAAGATTGCTTGTCTACTCCGCTACCTCCCCTAGAGCCCCTTGGGAACAAGATAACTGAATGGAGTTTGTGAAATTAGAGAAACAAAGTGCTCCTTAGGGCCTGGCAGGAGCCATTAATCCTGCAGATTAGCCTGTACAGCTGCCAATGCCTTCATGTTTCAACAGGGACACAAGCTTCTCTCAGGACACAACCAGTTCTGAATGTAAACTTATTGTTTTAAAGATTTTATTGGGGAATTGGGGGAGGGAAACAGCGCTGGGGAATTGGGGTAAGGGGAACAGACAAGTTGCTGTCCTTTTGTTCTTCAGTCTAGTTGTGGAGGACATCGCTTCACTGGCCCAAGGTGGCACTATCATTGCGCCGTTCCTGGGTGAGGCAGTCACTCGCCAGCCATTGTACGGCTGCTCACAGCAGCTCACAGCTGCTCACGCTGGCTGCCAGCCACGCACGGTTAGCTTACGGCAGCCCACTGCAGCACCACTGCAGCCTATGCCGTTGCCGTCGACTCACTGCAGCCCAGCTCCAGGTTGAGCTGTTGTTCACCATCTTAGCTTTAGAGGGCAGTGTCACTGGCCCCCATGTGGGATCCGAACTGGAGCCCTGCTGCTCAGAGCTGGCGTCCCAAGGCAGCTCTTAACCAACGTGCCACTTGGCTGACCCTGAATGCAAACTTTTTGCTCTTTATTTCCTCACATGTCCCGTCTTGCACTTAGATCCTAATGAGTTTGTTCACTATGTGGCATGTGATTGAAACCCAGCCTTTCAGACAAAGCTCACTGAACAATTATTTATTGACCAGGAAGCTGATCCTATAAGTAACTCCTCTTCTAATAGCCCAAGGCAATTAGCATTTCTGCTTTAAAAAAAAGATTGAATTGCTACGTGAACAAAAAACATCTATATGATGGCCCTACCTTATACACAAGGTAGAGTGTATCTGTATCCGTATTTTGTGTTTTCTAAGGAGCTTAGACTAATGATGTTGACTAAACATCCAGCCAAGTAATTGCAGGATTGACCACCCTCCCAGTCCCCAGTGCTGATGAGTTCTTAATTCATTGCTAGAAAGGGCAGACAGGTGCTGAGGAGAGAAGTAGTTCATCTGGTCATGAGTGATGTCATCTTGTAGTCAGTCATTCAGTCAGTCGGGGCTTCACTCAGGAAACATGTGTGGAGTCCTTGCTATATGAAGGCTCCTGGTGGGACTCCCAGCAGCCTACAGAAACAGAACACACCAGGGTCATGCCTGTGTACACGACAGCCTGGTCAGGGAGACAGAAGACAAAGAAGTAATTTTGAATGAGATGAGTCTCGTGAGGAACTTGTGCAGGGGGCCACACAAGTGTGTCACAGGACAGCCACCTGCCAGGGGAAATTGAGGAAGGCTGCCCAGCAAAGGTAATATTTATGCAGAGATTTCGAGGTTGACTAGGTGTTGGCTATGTAAAAGGGAGGAGGTGAGGGGAGAGAGCTTTCCAGGCTAAGAGCACAGCATATCCAAGGCTCTGAGGTGATAAAGTTCTCTTGGGGAACTGAGAGAAGTCCATTGTGCTGGAGGGCAGGCAGTGAGGGGAGAGTAGCCTTCGATGATTGACAGTCAGACATTAAACTTAGGGAATACTGGTGCCCTTTCTCCGTTCAGTGCTGAGCGGCATTGGAAGGATGGCATTGGTGTTAGCCTGGGGCATCTTTCCGACCGAGAGAACGAGCAAGCGTGCCGCCTTGGTGGAACCTCACTGCTGGGGTGTGTCTGGCTCCTTCCAGCTCAGACCTCCATCCTCAGTTCCATGCTTTATTGTTTAGGTCCAGGGCTGGTTGCTGGCACGTGGTAGATGCTCTGGTTGACCTGAGTTCACTGAGAAGACTGTTTTTGTTTTTTTGGTTTTGTTTTTGTCTCAGATTAGATGAGGATGAAGATGACCTGGAGGAGGAACATATAACCAAGGTAAGATGCTGTGTCCTGGACTCTCTGCTGTGATTGGTCCTGAGTCCAAGGCTCTCTGCCCAAAGGGAGAAGGCGAGTCCCTCAGCTGCTTCTCATCCTCCTGTTGGTGAGGGGCCTCCAGCCGCTGTGGCTCCCCAGACCCAGACTTTGGTCTCTAGATGCTCACCTGGTAGGCTGGGCCGAGCACCTCCTGGGGCTGGTGTCTGGGCGCGGGTGTCCCGGCATGGAGGAGCGGCCATTCTAGGCCAAGGACCAGGGCTTTCTCTTTCCATTGGGAGGTGGGGAGCGCGGGGACGGAGTTCTCTGCCCTTCGGATCTCTTCTTGTTCCTATTTTCATTCGCATGGAGTGCTATGAGGCGTGTGTGATGCCAACACTTCTCAAATTCAAAACATTTGGTTTCATTCGTGTTAGACTTTTGGTTTCTTTGTTGAAATTAGATATTTCCCCCTGTATTTTTCTCTTTTTCCTTCCTCACGCTTCTAATGTTACAAGTACCGAGAGAGTGTTCCTGCATTACTGCCAGCCCCAGCCAGCCCTGTGGGAGGTGTGTGTGGACTAGCGCTCCCTCACACACTCTCCAGAATCTTAGGGACCTTTTCCGTGTCACGAGTCACCATTCAGGGAAATACCCTTTTCCAACATGACCACACCCCCCAGAATGGTTGGATTAGAGGTTGAGGGTGACTGATGGGAGGAGTCCTGTCTTGTGAACATTCTCTTGAACTTTGGGAGCTGAGAGTCCCGCATTTGCTGAGATATGCTGTGACATTCAGAGTCTCCTTGCTTTAGGTTTGTATTTGTGGTCACTCTTCCCGTTCCCTTGGCCTGTCAGGCCGTGGCATTCCCTGAAGTGCAGAGAACACTTAGGAATGTTCTAGTGTCCTCTTTGGAATTCCTTGCTTTTCTTTGGAGCAGATTTATTACTGCAGCCGGACGCACTCGCAGCTGGCCCAGTTTGTACACGAGGTCCAGAAGAGCCCCTTTGGCAAGGACACCCGGCTGGTCTCCCTCGGCTCTCGGCAGGTAGACAGAGACAGGGCATCTTGTCCCAGGTGCCCTTCTGCTCCCGTCCCTGTGTCTTCATCTTCCAGGCACAGAAGGATGATGGGTGTGAGGCAGACAGAGCAGGCGGAGGATCGGCCCCTTCCCTGGCCCTGCTGGCCCTTGGAAGGAAACAGGGGGATTAGGCTGGGAGGCCCTGGTGGGCTGCTGTGTGTCATTTAGCCAGCACCATTTCCCTAACTCTTTCTCTTCTGTCTTATAGAACCTTTGTGTAAACGAAGATGTGAAAAACCTAGGTTCTGTGCAGCTTATCAACGACCGCTGCATGGAGATGCAGAGAAGCAAACACGGTAGCCACCTGGAGTGCCCTGGAGCTGTAGAAAGAGCCTCTGGGACCATCCTGTGGCCTTGGGCAGTATTGGGAAGGAGGAGGTCAGGAGTGGAAGTGGGCCAGAGCCGTGGGAAAGACAGACAGTGTCTTAAATGGAAATGGTTTCTTCCTAAAGATTCTCTCCTTGAGAACAGGTGTTGTTTTCTGGGTCAGTGTCTAGTCTGAAACCCTGGCTTTGACCAAAAAGTAAATACCAGAATGTTATGATGAGACCAGAATAAGTAATGCATGGAAGGGTTTTGTAGTCTTGACCTTGGAGGCCTGCTTCTGGCCACGGGGACAGTTACTGTTCTTTCTGCCTTTGCCCCCTGCCGGTGCCACCCACAGAGATCAAGAGCAGAGCCCAGGACGAGGAGGAAAAGGAGCCCAAGAGGAGAAGGCTGGAGCCCCGGGCTGCCTGCCCCTTTTACAACTACAAGCATCTGCAGCTCCTCCGGGACAAGGTCCTGGTGGAGGTGAAAGACATTGAGCAGCTGGTGAACCTGGGGAAGGAGGCTGGGGCCTGTCCCTATTACGGGAGCCGGTTTGCCATCCCAGCAGCCCAGGTGAAGACCCCAGAGGGTTGGGCAGTAGCTCTCAGCTCTTAAGTGCGGCCTGGGCCATGAGGGAATTCCTCTTACTTGGGGAGGATGTCACTGGCCATGCTTGGACCGACTGCCACACTGCACACTGATGAGACCTAACCACTTTCCTAGTCCATAGGGTCAGAGGAGGCTCCAGGTCCCTTGGCGGCTCTGGGCTACAGGGACAGTTGACATTATAGAGGACAGCAGATAAAGGTCAGGAAGGAGTGTGCATTCCTAGGGAAAACACAGTGAGAGATGCCAGGGAAGAAACTGAGGAGGCAGTAAGGGAGCTACAGAACATAAATCTGTTTCCAAATGGCCTTTCAGAGTGACTGTCCTAGCTGCGTACCTCCATGCAGTATATCAGAGTACTCTTCTAGACTGACCATATTGAGTGTTATTTCAACAGCGAGAAATGCTGCTAATTTGACAGGTCAGAAATGATGTCATTGTTATTTGGTTGGCAAGATTTAACTGTTTTCTTGCCACTTCCTTAATTTGAGTGAGTTTTGGAAACAGGATATTATTTGCGGAGAATTCCATATAATCAAGAAAAGGTTAAAGTCGATTTTAAAAGATCCAGGGAACTAAATACCGTATTTTGCCGTGTATAATGCATTTCCATGTATAATGCGCACCCGCATTTTTGGCCCAAATTTTCAGGGGAAAAAATCTTTTGTTTTAATTTTTCAATTTAAATTTTTATTTGTTTACATTTAGGTACTTGTTTTTTGTATTATAAAAGAATTTTAGCATTTATTTTTTTAAGATATTATGGTACAAGAAATTTTATGTAACAAATAATTACAAAACACAAGAACAGATACAAGATACAAGAAATTTTAAGTACCAGTAACAAATTTACGATATTTATGCATCACAGGAGGCCAAGAACTCTTCGTCGTTGCAAGCTTCTCGTAAGTTCAATGAAACTGATTATCGTATTCCAGGATATTATTTTGCATATGGATATTGTTATTTCTAGAGTTACACTTTAAACTCATAAGCATAAGTAAAAGAATTAAAAACATTTATATAGACACGGAATTAATACTACCCATGTATAAATATAATGTGCACCCTAATTTTTCCCTCACAAATTTGAGCAAAAAAGTGCACATTATACACGGCAAAATATGGTAATAATTTTACACGGCACTAACAGCTCATCAGTACATAAATTACCCTGAACCATGTGTATGGTGCTCACAGAGAAAACCAGCGACCCTCCCAGCCTCACAGTCGTCTCATGCCCCTCCCAGGCTCGGTCTGTCACATGCAGGACTAGTGCTTAGACATTGTGCAAGTACAGTAAAATTTCCTGAAATGTTTATGATTCTGACTTTTTAAGGCACTTTTCATGTCATTTTTGCTTTTATGGTATCCCAGTTAAATAACTAAGGCAGGTATTATTCATGTTCTACACATGAGGACACTGGGGTCCAGAGAGGTTAAGTGATATGTCTGTTTTCTCACAGCAAGTGAATAATAGAGCCAGTATTAAAACTAGGCCTCATTTTATAGATGCTTTTATTTTTGTTACCCCAACCCCACTCATTTACCCTGTTCAGAGATAGACTTTATCAAGCCCATTTTGCAAATGAGGAAAACAAGACTCAGGGTAAGTGGCTTTCCCAGACACACATCTGGGAAGTGGCAGCTCCAGGACCAGAACCCCGGGCTGCCTTCTGGTATACCAGTGTTTTAGGAACCTTGGGTGTCAAAGGGGCTACCAGAGGGACAAGAACCAGGCTGGGCAGCAGGGCTTCCCCTCCACTCCCCCATCCCTGCCCTTGGTTCCCTCAGAAGTCAGATGAGCTTTGGTTTCACGTTTCATATATTTGACATTCCACATAAAATTTTTGAGGAAAGTATTTATTGCTAAAAGCGCAGTACAGTGCTATAGCTTTCTGTCCACTTGTTCTGGGCAAGAAATAAAGCTGTTCACCCAGGACCTTAGAGTGGGCTGGGTGAGCCCGCTGGACGAGGGAGTATCGCCACCACTCAGGTGGCTGCCATCTCCTCCTAGCTGGTGGTGCTGCCCTACCAGATGCTGCTGCACGCGGCCACCCGGCAGGCCGCGGGGATCCGGCTCCAGGGCCAGGTGGTGATCATCGACGAAGCGCACAACCTGATTGACACCATTACAGGCATCCACAGCACAGAGGTCAGCGGCTCCCAGGTGGGTCAGCCTCCCCCTACCTGGCCAGGGCCTGCCGTGGGGCAAAGGTCCATTTCTTGAACCACCTAGACCTGGAATCCCACCAGAGACGGGCCTGGTAGAGCGGCACTGAGTGAAGGCATTGCCTCAGCGGAGGCCGACTCCGGCTTTCCGCCAGGTCTCAGTGCTGTGGGGATCCGGCTCAGGCAGAGTGGCGCGTTCCCTTGTTCCTCACTGGCCTGTGTCACCCTGAGTCCCTCCTGTCCAGGATGCTACTAACTAGCTCTCCATGATCCAGGATGATGGCATGAGAGAAGCAGGGTCCTCATGTAGTTGGGTGTCATTATTATTGATATTTCTTTGAGGGGATTTAATTGAGGAATGCTCTAGATCTCTGAAAGCCACAATTTATTACCTGTTGTGTGCCATCTGCTGTAGGAGGTTATGTCTGATCTTCACACTGACTGCATTGGGCTGGTAATCCTATTTTATATTGAGGACTTGGCGACTCTGAAAGGTGTAAGCAGTGCCTAAGGTCACACAGCTAATAAGTGTGGAGCTGGGCTGTGACTACTGGTTTCTGACCTTGAATCCTACATGGCATCCCACCACCTCTACTGACCATTGCCTGGGTTGACCTTTGGGCATGATCTGATGGTTACCTTCAGCCATTACTCTTAGTAGACGACATGTGTTTTCCCAAAAACTAACAGGGAGATCATTACCTGAGAGATTCCACTCTTGCTTGTTTCCATGACACAAAGTGGACACTACAGAATCTACTGTCCTTCCCCCTTCTCAGGTCCCACCAACCTAAGGGCCTTAAAACCCTGTACCTTGTTTGTACGCAGCCCCACTCTCCTCACCTTGATCGCATGTCCTGGGCTGGCATAACCTAAGATGTCACTGGCACAGCCGTAAGCTGCTTGCCCAGAGCCTGGTCTGCCTCCACACCCATTCTCTCTTCTCTCCCCAGCTCTGCCAGGCACATTCCCAGTTGTCCCAGTACATGGAACGATACAGGTGAGACACTCCCTCCTGAGGGGAAGGAAAAACCTGCTCAGCCGCAGCACCCCTAAGTCAGCCTCTGAGAGGAAGCACGTAGGTTGCTGTCTCTGGCCGGGCTCAGTGTGGGACCAGCGTGATGCTCATCCCCTGGTTCACTGTGATGTGTTCCCAACATAGGCCAACAGTACTCAAGACACAGCAGCTGGCCCTGAAGGCCAGCCCTTTTTCTGGGAGAGTATTTGTAGCTGTGACCCAGTTTGAAAGACACCAGACAGAAAGGCCTCAGCTTGGGGCACTTAGAAGGGACGTTTCTGTTGGAGTAACACCACCTGATGTCCATTGGTTTTTTTCCCAGGAAGCGTTTGAAGGCCAAGAACCTGATGTACATCAAACAGATCCTGTATCTACTGGAGAAGTTTGTGACAGTGCTGGGTGGTAAGGAGCATCGTGCCCACCCCAGCTCTGGCTGCTCAGCGTGCTGGCCTCGCTTCCCTGAGCACCTCAGGACACCGGGCTTTCTGTATCCTCAGAATTGTCTTGGCCGCTGATTTAGAATATTTTTAAATGTTTATAGCTTAGTTGAATTGTCTGACCTTAGATTTTTTTTTTTAAATCTTAGTTTATTTTCCAGTGTTTTGAGTCCTTTTTGTTTTGCCAGACCCTACTCCACAAGTAGTAGTAGTAATATAATACAATACAATATAATTAATATAACATAATATAATACATTTTACATAATAGTGATAGCAGTTTGGGGCACTGTGAGGAAAGCAACACAGACTGCCGTCAGTGACAGATGCGCAAAAGAAAGCCAAGAGCAGAGAAGGGACCTGCCTGCGGGTACCGAGCCCAGTGAGAGGGACTGGAATCTGCTGGCTTCTGGTCCCATGCGACTTTCCAACGTTTGGTGCCCCAATCTTTTCCTTCCTTGGCAGTTCCTTTCATAGAAGCAAAGTCCAGAAAGCCAGTGGGATTGTTCTGGAGGGCGCTTGTCTTGTGCCAGTGCTCTTCACTTGCACCTGCTTGCCACTGTCCCCATGTAGCATGGCCATGTCCTGTTTGCACCTGCATAAAATGGGGTGGTCACTCTGCCCCTGCCTCCTTGGAGGTGTGGAAAGAATGACATCACAAGGCTTTGGACTCCATATCACAGTTATGGGTCAGAATCCTGTCCTCAGTGGGGTCTGTGGGTGCAAAAATGGGGGGAAAAATGTTCAGATATAAATGTTCTTATTTGCCAAGTACAGTGTTGAATGTGATAAGATGGGTGGGGGAGGGAAGGGACCCCCATCCTGACCTGTTTGAATTCTCTGTTTTTTAGGGAACATTAAGCAAAATCCCAATATGCAGAGCCTCTCACGGACAGGTAAGTGGGTGGCCCTCATGGGCCCAGAGCTGGTCTAAGCTGGTTCCCAGATTCCCCCTGGGACCCAAAACCCTAGCCTGGGTCTTCAGAGTGGGACTCCAAGGCTCTTGTTTGTGTGCCCTTAGGGACAGAGCTGAAGACCATCAATGACTTCCTCTTTCAGAGCCAGATTGACAATATCAACCTGTTCAAGGTAGAGATTTTACCTTTCCACGTTAGTGCATCAAATCTTAGCCTTCCCACCACCTGTGGGCAGAACACTGTTAACATTGGAAGGAACAGAGTAAATTCCTTCTATCTTCAGGGAGACCGGAGTACTGAGGCCCCACAGCACAGATATGTCATTAACCCTGAAAAATGCAGTGTGTCAGCAACCTAGGATCAAAGGGTCGTAGGGGTTGGGGAGAAAAGCTGCCTTTCTTTGTACAATAAACACAAGTAGAGACGCCAGGTGTCCACCTGACTGTCCTGGGGCATGGTCTTCTCCTGGGCTGCTGGGCAGAGCCAGAAGTTAATTTTATCAGCATGCCCTGCTGTCAGGCCGAGGTGAGTGAGGACACAGCTGGGCCACCCTGCTGGACCCTTCTGTTTCCCACTGCAGCTGTGGGTTTGCCTGCTCCGGCTCTACATGTTCGGTGCTCTCCCAGGAAGCGTACAGCCACTGTTGCTTGGCTCACAACCTTGGGGATTCTAGTTTACTGCCACTGATGGAGCACTTACAGTGATCAAAGTGGTGTGCCAGGTTCTGTGACTCCAAGGTAGGGTGTGCCATCACCATCCTACAGCAAAGGAAACCGAGGTTCAACAAGGTCACCTCAGGAGGACGACACACAGCCAGCACCACACACAAGTGAGCAAATGGCGCGTGTCAGAGCTGGCGTGTGAACCAACTGCACATTCACGGCTCTGCCTTCTTTCCATCCTGCCTTGCCTTTTTCCTTCAAACCAGCTTACCCCTGACTTACCCATGTTGGTCATGGTTACTGCCATTACCCCTTCAGACAGGCTGGCAGTTTGAGTCATCCTTGAGTCCTTTCTCCCTTTCTGCCCCACATCCAGTTGCCAGGCGCAGTAGCCTGGACTCGCTCTTGAGTTTATTCCACCTTTTCATTTCTGCAGCTACTACTTCAGTGCAGGCTGTTCCTCTTTTCGCTGGTCTCCTTGGTTTCATTCTGCCTCCCTTCTAAGGGCTTTTACAAACTACAGACTAGTGAATCTTAATTTAAGAAAGATAGCGTTCTTTCCAGAAATATTTAAAGGCTCCAAACTCATTGTCTTGCATTCCAGGCTACACACTAAACTGCACTCTAGGCATCGCCTGAACAAGTCCCAAGCTTTACCTCCTTTGTGCCTTTGCTCATAGGATTTAAACAAAACCAAACAAAATCTTTCAAAATCCAGCTTAGGTGCTGTCATGCTGAAGGCAAACGGAGAGGATATAGCTGTCACTGCACACCTTTAGGAGGGTCAGAGGAGGCCTTGCCTGAGGCCTGGTGGAGGCTGTCTGGTGGGAGAGCAGGCAGGGAGCAGTGGGGGTGGAGTGACCCCAGAGAGGAGGTGACAAGGTCGGCCATGGGAGGTGGTGGTGAATCCTCCCTGAGTTCTGGAAAGTGGTTATCTTTCTTTGTTGCCTGGTTAGGTTTTCCATGTGCCTACAGTGGGCTTGGCTTTTGCAGGTGCAGCGCTACTGTGAAAAAAGCATGGTCAGCAGAAAGGTACAGCTCCTCTTCCTTGGGACCTGGCGGGGTCCAGCAGTGCCCCTGCTTGCTGCCCTCAGCGCCTTCCTCTCCTGTCCTTTGAAAACTCAGTCACCCTCGTCTCCATTTTCTTCTCTGTGGAGCAGCCTTGCCAGGGCGCAGAGGGGCTGCCAGGATGCCTGGTGGGGGTGGGGGTGGGGGTGAGCTGCAGGTGAGAGACGGGAGCCTCATGGCCACCCTGGTCTCCCTCACTGCTGCCAGCCTCATTCATCTTTGTCACTCTCCTCCCCGCACAGCTCTTTGGCTTCACAGAAAGGTATGGGGCAGTCCTCGCACTCCCCAGGGAGCAGCCCAGACTGGCTGGGTTCCAGCACTTCCTGCAGAGCCTGCAGCCGGGGGTGACTGAGGGTGAGTCAGGAGGGTGGGGGACTGGGCTGCAGGCCCTGGGTGAGGACAGTCCTTCCTCACTCCTGGGCGCCTCTTCCCCAGAGAACGGCCTTAGCCCAGCTGCAGGGAGGCCCTCCGCCCCACCCATAGACCCCGACTCTTCCTTCTGCTCTGCAGCTCCTGCAGCTCCGGTGGAGGATGGGGAGGCCAGAGCACCTCGGTCTGCTTCTCCACTGATGCACGTAGAAGGCTTCCTTGCAGCTCTCACCACTGCCAACCAGGATGGCAGGGTCATCCTCAGCCGCCAAGGTAATCCAGGGAGGAGCCAGCCTGGAGCTAGGCGGCCAGCGAGTGAAAGGAGTGTGAACTTCCACCCTGGCAGCTCCCCGGGTCAGGATGAGGAACGGGGGTGCTGACACCTGACCTCCTATGACCTGCGCAGGTGGTGGGGCTCGTGAGGGATGCAGAGGTGCTGGGATGGGGGGTCATCTCAGGCATGAGTGTAAGAGAAGCCGTGTAGCCTGGTGGTTAAAGCTAGAGGAACTTTGGATTGAGTCTTGATTCCATCAGGCTGTGTGTCTTGGACCATGTGTTTATCCCTGAACCCTCAGTTTCGTGTGAAAAGGGAGATGATAGTACTCTCTACCTCAGGGCTGTCCTGGAGATGAAATGGGGTTTAATTTAAACAGCAAGTGTCATCTCTTGTGTCTTCTACATGGACCCAGCTAGAGATCTCTTTGCCTCCGACTGATGGACGTACTTGCTTGGCCTGTCCCCGCCCCTTCCCCATGTAGCTCTTTTATCCCTTTTTTCCAGGCAGCCTCAGTCAGAGCGGTCTGAAGTTCTTGCTCCTGAATCCAGCGGTACCTTTCGCCCAGGTGGTGAAGGAATGCCGGGCAGTGGTCATTACTGGGGGCACCATGCAGCCGGTAAGGACGCCAGAGCCAGCCTCCAGTGCCCTGGTGTGGATGGGACTGTCGGGCCTCTTCACCACCACCCGATAAAGGGGACTGGCTTGAGCAGGCCAAGAAGTGTCCACCAGGTGGCACTGCGGCACTGTCTGCCAGATCCTTGTAGGCTGAGGGGATGGCACTGCCACTGCTCTGGAGCAGTGGGACCACACTGCTCTAGAGAGAGTCCTTCTGCAGCTTCTGCCCTCAGTTAGGTGCCCCAGTGCCATACCCTTCCTGTGCCCCCCGTAGATACAACCTTCCCTCTCTTATAAATTTAAATTTAAACATATTTTTAGAAAAGTACTATATTTTCATTGTAGAAAGCGAGTCAAGCAAAAACAGGAGGAAAGATCATAATTTCACCAGCAAGATTCATTTTGGTGCATAATAGTCTTTGTATGTATAATTTTTACAGATATACATACATATTTTAAAAAACAAAACAGAAATGGTATTATCTGTATATGCTGTTATAATTTGCTTGTTTTACTCAGCAACAAAATGTCATAAACATTTTTCCTTGTCAGCAAATAAGCGTTCGTTCCACCATACTCTGGCTACACTTGATCCTGTAACATGAATATATTATATTTTATATAACCGCTCTTCTTTTGTTAGCTATTTACGCGATTTTCAGTTTTTCTCCATTTTAAACAATAGAGTGGTGAATGTAACCAGTCTCTGCACAGTGGTTATTTCCTTAGGAGGCATCCTAGAACGGCACTTACATGAAAAGCTACTCAGTGTCCCCAAGCAGTCAGTGGTTCAGCGGCTTCCTATTAGAGCGATCCCCCCTTAACTTTGTAATTCTTCCATTTTTCTTTCTTGTGTATAGACTTGCAAATTTCTACTCATTCATGTATTAAGACCATTTACAGTCATTGTCACTTTTGGTGCTCGAATTATCTCAAATGTGACCTGTGGGAAACCCCCTCATGCTGCCTATGCCATTTCAACCCCATTAGCCTTGAAACACTTTCTTGCTTTCTGTCCTAACTGAAGATCCCAGGCCACCTGATGCTTTCTTTGCCCCAGATCTGGAATCATTCATTTTTCCAAAGTGCCTGGTTTTCTTTCACTGGGGATGGGTACTTAGAAACCAAGATCTGGGTGCTTGGGTGTTTGCAGTGCTCCTGGATGGCCATCATGTATAGGCCTTTTCAGTGCAGACCTGCAAAATATATTTCCATACAGCATGAGTCCATATCGACATTTCTAAAGCAAAATCATTATATTTGACCTTACACTGTACCTCTTTTCTCTTGAGTTAAACTTTTGGTTTCTTATATTAATGTAATTACTTATTTGCTATATCCCACATATACTGAAAATAGTTTCAAAAATATACAAATAGTTTAACAATATACTATTGATTAAAATTGTATTTCTTTGCATTTATTTTTTGCCCTTTGAATATATCCTACTAAGGATGCATGGTCACTGAGCATATGAAACCACTTGATATCAGGCTTTTCTTTGTGTGCTTATGTTGTGAATTTGATAGGTAGCTAGGCTTTCTTTCAGTTTGGTTTCAGTTTTAAAACGTGAACCATGATATGGTTCAGAAGTCAAAACTATAAAAAGATTCAGGAAGTCTCACTTCTACCCCCTTCCAGCCTGTTCCCCACCCCCTTATGTAAGCATGTTTTATTAGCTACTGGTCTGTCCTTCCCCCCTTTCATTTTTTTGCAAAAATAAGCAAATATATGTAGTGATTCTTTCCTAATCAGTTTTTTATGTATCGTTGTCTTGGCGATCAGTACACGGATGGTCTGCATTCCTTTGTTGGCTGCATAGTTTTCCACTGGGGGATGTAGCTCAGCTCACTGAGCCAGTCCCTCTGGAAAGGTGGTTTTGCTCTCACAAACATCTTCACAAGAACTGTCCCGTGCGTGTGTTACTTGCATTGTGGAACTGTACCTTCAGGGTAGACTCCTATACATGGGATTGCCAGGTTAAAAAGTAAAAACACATCTAATTTGTTAAATATTGTGACATTTCCCTCCACCTGGAGTAGGACTGTTCTGTATCCTGCCAGCAGTAGATAAGAACACCTGTTTCTCCACAGACTGGTCAGACGTGGGTTTTTGCCCATTTGATAGGTGAAAAGTCTGGATGGAGCTCTTTAAAAATACAAAAAGCACATTCCTCCCCCTAGAGATTTCCATTCAGTAGTTTGGGGCCCGGCCATATATATATTGGGGGTGCCAAAACAATGTATACACATTTTAAGAGATGTTATCTTTTTAAAAAAAAAGATGTATATATTTTTTAAAATCCCCATTGGTGATTTTGTTGCATAGCCAGGGTTGAGAACCACTGTGCCGAATTGGCCACATTTCTTTTACCATTCCACAAGTAGTTTAAATGAGATCACCACCACTGTCATCAAATTGTGTTCTGCTGTTTGCTAAGTTGTTATCAGCCTTTCTTTTTACTTCTTTTTTCTGTCATGTACTTGCTGCCTCCCAGCCCAGACTTCTGTCTTTCCACGTGATTCTCTCTTCCCCTCCCTACCAAGGCCCCTGCCTGCTTAGACCAGAGGCCCCTGTCCCTGGACCTCTAGGAGGTCACGCAGCCTTGACGTTGTGGTCTGCAGGTGTCTGACTTTCGGGAACAGCTGCTGGCATGTGCTGGGGTGGAAGCCGCACGAGTGGTGGAGTTTTCCTGTGGTGAGGATGCATGTCCAGGGTGGAAAGGGCCACACAGTCACATTATGGCCCCTTCTTGTCATAACAGAGCCATATGCTGTTACCAGGCCTGAGGAGGTCATGCGGTGGGCGCTTGCTTCATCCTTTGCTAGCTCTTTTCGTGAGCTCAGGGCCTTCATGCTCTGTGCCACCTCCATCGACATGGGAGAGGCCTGAGCATTACCAGTTTATTGTGGAAGCGGGGTGGGTGGGNACTGCTGCTGCACCTGAGTCTGATGCCCCCTGATCCCCCACTAAGCCAGCCAGGCCTCCTGCCAGCGCCCCCTTCTGGCCATACAGGTTCTCAGTCCCCTGGTGTCCAGGGCGCTCCTGCCTTCCATAAGAACTGGGAACAGAGCCCCGTGCCCCGCTTGCTGGCCTGCGCCCCTCAGGTGGGTGGGTGGGAGTTACAAATTGCTGCTCTCGGTCTTGAAGGCAAGGGTTGGGCAGTGCTCTTTCTGGACTCTGCCTTGCAGAGCAGTCTGCACCTCCAGTTTCCAGCCCCTCACTGGGTCTCCCCAGGTCATGTGATCCCTCCGGACAACATCCTGCCCCTCATCATCTGCAGTGGGCCCTCCAGCCAGCAGCTGGAGTTCACATACCTGAAAAGAGAGCTGCCTCAGATGGTTAGTACCAGCCAGCCTGCCTCACCACGGCCTTGGCTAGGGAGGGAGAGGGATTTCTGGGGTGGGGGGCACTAGCCAATCGTGAGTGTTCAGGCATTGGGAAATGAGTACCGGGTCTTCCATCACAGAGCTGGCACAGGATGAATAGTATCCAGTTGTTAATGAAGGAAGGTGTGAGCTTCCCTCATCCCTTAGGCTGCTAAATAAGTTTTCTTGACACCTCTAGGCATGAGAAAGTGGCTCATTTCCTTTGGTTCTCTTGCCTTTGGTTATCAGCCCCTTGCTTGGCAGGGATGCGAGTGTTGGGGGCACATCCCTACTGGCAAGCTGTTTGTCATAGATGGTGTTTAATCCTCAGTTGCCCACAGGACATTGGGAGCTGGGGAAGGGAGGACTAGGCACACTCCAGTAGCAGGTATAGCTCTGGTGTGCTGGCACTGCTGTGTGTGTCACACATGCTGCCAGGCACAAGGAGCATTAGTTGGGTGTCTGGTAGGGAGGGTGGCACGCTCCAATCTGTGATTCCCAGCCAGAGGGCGCCATCTGGCCACAGTCCCCACCCCCCCGACCGCACTTCCCCTGGGTCCATACTTGGTTCTGAGCCCTCAGGCTAGGAGCCTTTTTTGGGAGTGGCCCCATGGAGGGCCCCTTGTCTTCTTTTCTCAGATGGAGGAGACTGGTCGCATCCTCTGTAACCTGTGCAACGTGGTCCCTGGAGGGGTGGTCTGTTTTTTCCCCTCCTATGAGTACCTACGCCAGGTCCATGCCCACTGGGACAAGACTGGCCTGCTGGCCCGCCTGGCCGTCAGGAAAAAGGTGAGTGACCCCGCAGCTGAACCTTCCACTTGTGGGGACAGTAGCACCCAGAGTTCCTCCTGGGATTCCTTGTGCACATCAGACCAGACAGTTGGGCTTCTCCTGGTTCCTTATCCCACCACTTCTAATCCATGATTTCCACCCAGAGGGTTTCCCAGAGCCCATGGGGTTCTCCAGTCCCCAGGCTTAGGCTGGAAAACACAGGGCCTGGAGCAGACGGTGACCCTGGTATCCTGAAACCCTGTTCTGGGAGACATTATCTGTTACCTTCAGATATTTCAGGAACCCAAGAGAGCTAGCCAGGTGGAGCAGGTGCTGACGGATTATTCCAGGTGCATTAAGGTGAGGGTATAACTCTGAGGCCTTGGGTTCAGAAAGCATGTGGGGTTGGCAGCTGAAAAACATGCTGGATGGCATCCCATCTTTGGGGCTTTCCTACAGTGCTGTGGTCAGCTGGGAGGCGCGGTGACAGGAGCTCTGCTGCTCTCGGTGGTCGGAGGAAAGATGAGTGAGGGCATCAATTTCTCTGACAACCTTGGCCGGTAAGTAGGGGGCTTCTCATTTCCTGGGGTTCTGACACTTGCCCACCCCCCACTCCAAGCAGCTGGGCTCCCACCTGCAATCTGATGCCACCTAAGTCTGACCTGACTGCGTAGGTCAGTCGGCTGCGAGGGGCAGTGATTCAGCAACTCTCAGTTTGGCCCTCTGAGACCAGGTGGAAAATTAGGCAGACCATTACATTCCCAGGACTCCCTCTGTTGGCTTAGATTGGACCTCTTAGCCGAAAACCCCCTTTCCAGGTAGTAGGTATAGGGTGGGGAGGGAGAGGCAGGACCCCTGAGCACAGCCTGAGGGCCGCTGGGGTGGTAGACGGAGCAGGTGGTGATGTGTGGGTGAGGACTGGGCCCTTTGTCCTGGGCTTTGAGAACTCCACCTCATACATGCCCCCACCTTAGGTGTGTGGTGGTGGTGGGGATGCCCTACCCCAACATCAAGTCTCCAGAGCTCCAGGAGAAGGTGGCCTACCTGGATCACACCCTCGTGAGTACCCCAGGGTCCTGGGGGATGCGAGGGCAGGGCAGGGGAGCGCTGTGGCCTCTGGGGCTAATAGGCTGTGACTGCGCCACTGCCCCTGATGGGTGCCAGTTTCCTGTTTGCTCCCGAGGGATGGGAGCCCTCAATAGCCTTATGACGTCATTGTGCCCATGAAGCCAGCTGGTCTTGCTCAAAGCCTGGCAGTGTCATTTTCTCAGAACACTAGGCAGGAGGCAGGGAACTGTTCTGATGGTCATCTGCTTTGCTCCTCCCAGCCCCGAAGCCCAGGTCAGCCCACCCCAGGGAAGGCTTTGGTGGAGAACCTGTGTATGAAGGCTGTCAACCAATCTATAGGTAAGCCTGGGGCTGTTCTTGGCTCTCAGGATGAGTAGTTGGGGATGGATGAAGAGTGAGGTGACAGGAAGAGATTTAACTTGCCATCTCTCGGGTCTGAGGGCTGAGGAAGGGGAGGGGACACAATAGAAATGTACAGTCGGGGAGGTAGGTTTAACCAGAGCCCCACCCTCTGTCCCCATCCAGGCAGGGCCATCAGGCACCAGAAAGATTTTGCCAGCATAGTGCTCCTGGACCAGCGGTATGCCCGCCCACCGATCTTGGCAAAGCTGCCAGCCTGGATCCGAGACCGCGTGGAAGTCAAAGCCACCTTTGGCCCTGCCTTTGCTGCTATACGGAAGGTCAGTCCTGCCTTTTCCTCTCCCCACAAAAGCCTTCCCACCCCATCTAGCCACTCACTGTCTTTCCCTGTCTCCCTAGTTTCATCATGAGAAGTCTGGCCTTTCCTGAGGGACAGCCGCAACCCTGTCTGAAGTCCAGACCAGCCAGTGTCCTTCTGGAATCGTTGGGCTGTCAGCATCCGGGAATAGGTGGAAAAGCCAATAGGAGAAAGTCCGGTTAACCCTGAATGAACAGTGGGTCCTGGCCATCTTTGGGCCCAGCCCAGGGCAGTTCCGCTCCCGGAAGTTGAATCTTTCTTCCTGTCGAAAGCTCTCTTCCATGGCCCGTCGAGCTCCCTGCCCTGTTTTTGGCCATCCTTTCCGGGCTGCTGTGGCGGCTGCAGCCCACTGTAGCATCTGTCCTTCGGTTCTCAGCATCCACTGAGACACAAGATGGAACGGGCCCATCCTGCCTCTCCCCTTTGTCACTAAAATCAGCTATTACAGATATTTACCCTTTCCTCAAATTGAACAGGGTTCCCCATTTCTGGTCCCCTGGTGTCCAGGGCGCTCCTGCCTTCCATAAGAACTGGGAACAGAGCCCCGTGCCCCGCTTGCTGGCCTGCGGGCCTCACCGCTACTTCAGGGCTGGCCCCTCACCTGTCCCACAGCCTCTGGAACATTCTCCTCCCTGGCTTGGCTCCAGCTCCTCCTCCTCCTAAGTCGCACCTCTCCCCCTCTCAGCCATTCGAGCAAACTCCAAGACACCTCTTCCCCTGACATTAGCAATTATGCCAAGGGCCATTAGGCTCTCAGCATGACTATTTTTAGACACCTTGTGTCTGTCACTGAGACACTTTTTCCTGTGTGAAAATATCCCTCCCTCCGTCTGTAACTGCTGCTCCTGTTGACTGTACCTCTCCTCTCCCTGACCCCACAGAAAGGGGCTCGGTCCACTCAGCACTCTGCCCCAGCGCCTGAGACCAGCGGGAGGTCAGGCCTGCACAGCGGCAGTTCCTCAATTAAAAGTGCACTGTTGCTTTATGCTCAGTTCAGCGTTATACTTCTTTATTGATGTGTGTACTGTTGGATCTCAGAGTCTTTACAGAAGAGAAGAGCATGCTGGTGAAGGGGGTGGAGCACAGGCAGAGAGCCAGCGCCCCCCCACCCCTCAGAAGCCAGCCTCCCTGCTCCTTGAACACGGTCCAGGCACAGGCCTGGGCAGTGCCCCATGGTGCCCTCCTAGCTGTTTCCATGTGAGGGCACGAGGCTGAGCCCCTAGGATTCCCACTCGTCCTCGTCCTCCCCTGGTGGCTGCTGTGGGGGAGGCAGAGGCGGGATGGAGTCGGACATTCGGGCAAAGGCTCCTCCTGGCCCCTCGCTGGCCCCGCTCCCAGGTCCTTTGCCGGAGATGCCTGGGAGGGAAAAGGTAGAGGGTGAGGCGGAAGGTTTGGGGCACTAGTCCACCCAGCCCCTACAGACTTAGAGACGGGAAGAGAAAGGCAGTGTCATGATGCAGAACACCCCAGCTCCCCAACCCTGCCTCCTACCTTTGCGCCTCATGACCAGCTTGTTGAAGAGATCCGACATCAGGTCCCCACCTTGGCCTGTGGCTCTCACTGCAACAGGAAAAGCACAGGTGAGGGAGGAGAAGGGGACATTCTCAGTTTCAGTCCCATTTGTCCTTTTCGTTCACTATTGACACCCCAGCCCTCTCCACAGCCATCACGTTACCACCAGCTCTCGGAGGTCAGTCTGTCTGATATCAGCACTGGGGCACTGATAAGAAAATGGTTAACATTTGAGTAACAGCGTCACCAGTGAGACAGAGGGGCACTTATGAGCAGCCTCATTGTATGGATGAGGAAACCAGCCCAGAGAGGTTAGGCAGTTTGCCTGGGGTCACAGTGCAAAGCTCAAAGGGCTGGCACTCACATCGGGACTGGTGACCTCCATGGCACTAGTGTTTTATGCCCAGGGGTACATTTATGCCAGAGGCTTAGAGAAGCAGGACCGAGCTACCTCTCCAGGCTCTGTTTCTAAAACATCTCAGATCCAGCCCATTTCCTTGGACACCTGGCAGGTAGGAGAAGATTCCCTCTTGTAGTCTGAGCCGAATGAGGCTGCCCCCTACTGACACAGCAGAGTTCTACCAAGCAGGCCCCAAAACCTGCCAGGAAGCCAGTGCACAGGCAGCAGAGAAGAGGATGTCAGGGAGGCCACCCAGGGCTTCCAGCAAACACCCCGGGGAAGCAGGGGGCTGGCCTTTCGACACCTGGGAGGCTAGGAGCACTGCTGGACTCGGGTTAGAAGGGGCGGCCCTTTCCTTAGCGCCCTCTCCTGGAGTGGGGGTAGCGTCCCCTCACCTTGCTCCTGCTCCTTCTGCTTCTTCTTCTCCAGCTTACGCTCCTTGACGCTGCGGAGCTTGGCCTTGCCGATGCCCCCAGCCTGGCGGATGGACTCGAGCAGAGTGGCCCGGCCACTGGAGGGGTCAACCACTTCCTTGGGAGCCCCCTGGACTGGAGCTGGGGGCGGGAAGGGGCACAAGGAAGGCAGGCTGCTCAAGCAGGGCTAGGCTGTGCGACAGCCCTGTACAGCCTAAGGCTCTGGGGGGCCAGAGGGACCCTCAGCAGCCTGGCTGTGAGGAGGGGTTCTTTCTGAAGAGGAAGCCAGTGAAGTCGGGCCTCTGGAGACTACGGAGCCTGGACGCTGACACATCCACCTTGCTAGGGAAATCTGTGTCCAGGCCCTCCGGGTCCCTCTCCAGCCCTTACCCAGCTTAGGTGCCACCCTGCAAATGTGGACCCCAGGAATTACTGATGTGCTGAGTGTCTAAATGTGACAAATGAGCCAACAAGGAATTTTTGTGCCACTTCTGGATGCTGGAGATGACTGGGAGGTAAAATATTAAAATTCTGCAATTAAGGGACACGTAGATATTTTGTTGTTGCAGTTTTCAATTATGTTAGTAGCCCCCCTTTTTCCATTGGTTTATGTGCGAATGGGGGACCCAAAGCCCCACCTGTCCAGGCTTCCTCTACCCTGAAGGATAGAATTCCTGGGGCACTACAGACAAGGCCTGAGAACCACTATTTTATGAATCCAGTGGAACAAGGTTTAAAATTAGAACTATTCTGAAAATCCAGAATTTATGACCACTTAACAAACCTACAGAAGTCCTCCAGGGGTCCAGAAATTAGAGATGCCCTCAAGGAAAGCACCCCACCCCACCCCACACATGGGCCCACCGCCTGGTGCTGCTCCTACCTGAAGGAGACGTGCTGTGCTCATCCTCAGAGCCCTGACCTGGAGAGGCCACAGTCTGCAGGGGCGGTGGGGGTGGGGGGGCGCTGACCAGCACTGCTGGAGCTGGGGGAGGCGGTGGTGGGGGTGGTGTTAGCACCCCATCTTCTAGGTCTGAAACAAGTGTGACAAAGTGAGGTGCCTGGGGAAGAAAGTGGCCCAACTCTCATTCCTGGCTCTCGCTCACTTGGCTTGAAAGGCTCGGCCACCTCTGTGTGGAAGGTAGGCAGCTCTGGAATGGTGCCAGGGGCAGAGGGGGCAATGCCAGGGCCCAGATCGGCACTGTACATGAGGTCATCAGCGATGCCTGGCAGGTCGGGCAGGTAAGACGGCACGTCGATCTCAGGTACTTGGCCCAGGTCGGGTACATAGAAGTAGTTCTCTGGAACCTGTAGAATTAGGTGGGGGTACGTGAGTGGGGACTGCAGGGGTCATGGCCCTGCAGTTTGACCTTGGGCAGTCAGTGGGGCCTGGGTGGGAAGAAGGGCTTAACAGACCCCTTGCCTGGAGAACCCTAGCAGGGCTGGCAGGGACCCACCTCGTCACCCACATGTAACCCCCACCCACCTAAGCATCATCTCTACCTGTTGCTCCAGCTGCTCTCTTTTGCTGATAGACAAAGGGGCATCGAATAACTTCTCCTCTGTCTCTGTCCCCAGCATCACATGGGTCTTTGTTACAGCACCAGCCAGGGGGTCCAGGAAGACATACTTTTTGTACCTGCAGAGGTGGGGTGGAGCTCAGGCCATGTATCACTTGTTCTCAGCCCAGGACCCTGACCCACCTTTCCCACTTCATTAGGGCAACGATCAGTTAGTCCTGTGGATCCCCAGGCCTTACAAGGCCAGCCAAACTGGTTCTGGCTCCCCAGCTGCAGACTGCTGCTGCACCTGAGTCTGATGCCCCCTGATCCCCCACTAAGCCAGCCAGGCCTTCTGCCAGCGCCCCCTTCTGGCCATACAGGTTCTCAGTGGTGTTGAAGAGCAGCAAGGAGCTGACGGAGTTGATGTTGCTGGGGAGACCCCCGAGCCCCTCCTCGGCCTCATCCTCAGGCTCTGGCTTGGTGCTCACACACACAGGGAAGTACTTCAGCTTCTCCTGGGGGATGGGATGTGACAGGGATGGTGGATTTCAGGGCCAGACCAATGACCTCCGCCCCATCCCAGTCAGAACCCTATGGGGGCTCTGAGTTCCTCCCCCACATCCAAGACCACAAGCGTGTGAGCTGTATGCCCATCAAACCTGCAGGGCCCGCTCGTCCAGGGGCCGGTGTTTGCTCTGGATCCTGTGCCGGGGGCGTCTCTGCAGTCCAGAGTCCTGGGCACCCATGAAGATGGAGCTGTACTCCTGCAGGCGCTCTGGAGCTGGGTACTTGGCACTGGAGAACACCTGGGGACACGGGGAGTCTGAGATCACTTCTGCAGGGGCTCCGAGAAGCTCCAGAGAGCCTAGGGTTAAGGTGGGGGATTCTGAAAAGGAGGAAAGCTTGAGGTGTGATGGATGGTGGAGGCAGGGACCTGGCAACCTCAGAGGCACAGGAATGTGGGAAATGGGGCTTCTGTGACTGCCCGCCACCCACAGGACACATGGGCTACCTTGATGGCCTTCTTGCTGCCCTTGATCTTCTCAATCTTGGCCTGGGCCAAGGAGACCCTCTCCCCAATGGCCTGCAGCTGGCTCCGGCTCAGCTCTACTCGCTGGGAGATCCTGCCACGGAAAAAATGACAGGGACTGGGGGCTGCTCCTCTGGCCCCTGCCACCTCCTGCACTCCTATTTGCACAGCAAACCTGCAAAGCCAGGGGCTCAGGCAAGGGCACTCTAAAAAGTGTTACTTGCTTGTCAGGGCCAGTCTTGGAACTGCCCAGGTGACCTCTGCAAGGATTATCCAACCTGAAAGATCTAGGAATGCACCATATTAAGCTCCTTGGAGGTCTGGGTAGGGATGGGCAACCACCTTGGCCCCGAGCTGGCGCCTGGACATGCCATCTGAAGGGACATGATTCCTGCCTCCTGGAGTTTACAGCCTCAAGCAGGGGCCGGCTGAGACAGAACCATCATGACTGACAAGGACACATTCACCGATTTCCAGACAAGGAAACCAGAGCTCAGCAGGGCTGACTGACAGGCCAGGCTTAAGTTCAGTCTAGGACTTAAGTTCAGTTCTAGACCTGTTCATGAGGAACTTCCCGGCACATGATAAACGGCTCATGTAAGTAAGTCCCAAGTCCTGACCATGGTTCTCATGGTTGTGGGTGTCCATCCCTTCCCCCAACCTGATCAGTCGGCTCTGGTGACACCTGCTGCCCTGCTTTTCCCTGGGCATGCCAAACTCACTGTTGTTGAGCGGCCTTTGCGTCAAACGGAATGCCACCCCCCGATATCCACACGGCCGGCTACTTCACTGCACAGCCCCCTCCTCACTATAGCCTTCCCTACCACGGAATCTGAAAGTGCACCCGTCCCTCTCCAGCCCCCATCTCGCTTCACTTTTACACTGTGCCACTTGGCATGTGTCTTTTGCCTACACGTGCTCTGAGGGACTGAGGACTCTGCTCTGTTGCCTGTGCATTCCAGTGCCTGGCACCTGTGCGGGCTCCTCGGTGGTTATTGAATGACTAACACCCACATGCCCTAAATGAAAATGCACGTTCGCCTCACGTTCGCTGTCCCTACATTATTCAGCAACAGCAACTGTCTCCTCACTGCAGCGTTACCTCTGCTCACACATGCCAGTCCATCCTCCCCACATCGAAGAACACCAGCTCCTGCCCATGACAGTCATGTTCCACATTTGGAGCGGTCACATGTCTGCATTCTCCTGGCAGCAGCGAGCACACAAGTGAGCACAAGAAACGAGGCAGAGTTGCAAGTTGAGCACCCAGGGAAAGGTGGGGGGTAGGACAGACAGCAGAGGGGCCCCGCTGTCCAAGGGGTGGGAGACCGCAGGGTCAGGGGGCTCGGAGAGTTCTCTAAAGGTTGAAATGAACAGTTAAAGCCCTGGCCCAGCCTTCCTAAACCACCCCCACCAACTCTAGAAGGTTTTGGTACCCAGAGAACCCACCGCACCAGCCAATTTCATAAACGCAGGGGTCTCCGTCCCGATAAAGTCTCCCTGATCACTCCCGGTGCCAGAGGTGGGGGCTGCGGTATAAGCAGGCACCCGGAGCAGCTGAGTTTTCCTTGACAGACAATGCAGAGAGAGAACAAGAGGACACGGTTTCCTTCCAACGAGAATGCAGAATCACCCATCTATTCCAGCATGAGCTGCATGTTTTCCGGCATAGGGAAAGGTCTTCATTCACTGGGAAGGGGACTCGAACACAGCTGCTTCCTCCAGTCCCCAACTCAGCCACCCTGGCTCTGGGTGCCAAGCCTCAGTGGTTATGTAACCACTCCACTCGAAGTCGATGTGGAGAGGGAGGGATATCAGAACCGGTGCTGGACAAAGGCTACTCTGTTCTGATTCTTCCATTAAGGAGAGAAAGGCTGCTTTCTCAAAACTGTAAACATCAAGCTTAACAATGAACCCTGGCAAATTGCCAGAATGGATTATTAAATAGAGGGTCTGTAAGCACTTAGAAAAGGAAGAGGCCAGCATTGTTCTAAAGCCACAGCATTTCTTTTTTGACAGGGTTATTAGACTGTGTATCAGGGGAGAACCTTAAACACAGGGCATCTTGAGTCAGCAAGGATTTTGACGGCTTCTCACAAAATCCTGCGGACAAGATGGAGCTGTGGGGGTTGGAGGAGAGTACATTTAAGGAAAATCAAAGCAGATGAATAACAGCACCCGAAGGGCACTGCTGGAGAATGGATTGATTTCAGCCTTGCACGAAGGTCTCTGGCAGGGCCCTGTCCAGCTCATTCAACACTTGATCAGTAAACTGGGGATGTCAAACGGAGAAGGGTCAGAAATAGTCTGCATGATGGAATCAAGATTCAAAGAATCCTGAGAGGCCAGAAGGATGGACTATGAGCAACAAGAAGAAATTGACGAGGAATGAATGTGAAGCCCAGTATATTGGTTAAAAAGTCAAGTGCATAAATACAGAAGATAGAGGGTTAGCTGTAGTTCAGGTAAAGAAAGACCTGAGGTTTTGGTGAACTGTAAGCTCAGTATGAGCTAAAAGTATGTTAAGCAGCTTAAAAAGGAAATGCAATCTTAGGGCACACAGCTCCTGGGCCCTCTCCTGCCTTCTTTCAATAAGCAGGGAACATCCACTCTAAGAGGCACTAGAGAGAAAACGGAGCCCGAATTAATGAGCTAATCTATGCCAGGCACCAGTCTCATCAACAGCTGTGTCCCCTTTAAACTGAATCCACATTTTAAGAGGACTCTGAATTTCCTCTAGACTATTCCCTTATTCTCTGCTCTATCTCTAGCACCTGGAACAGTGCCTGACATGTAACAAATACTGGCTGAATAAAAAGTGACAAGTTAATGAACGTCCAAAGAAGGGCAATGAGGATGGTGATGAGTGAGAAATTCATGTCATACAAAGGTAAGTGAAGGATGTCTGGCTATAGATGAGATGACTTAGAGAACATAATTCCTTTTAAATATCAAAAATATCCTCGGTACTGTCAGGTTGAAGAGCAATGAGATTATGCTGTCATCCCAGAGGGCTGCATTAGGAGCAGGGGGTGGAGTTACAAGGAAGTAGATCTCATTTCTACATAAGAACTTCCTAGTAAACAGCTGCCTAGCTTCGCAAAGCAGTCAGGTTCCAGCTGGATGACCACCTGTCAGGAATGCTCCCAGGGAGACTGCTGTGTGGGGCAGGGGAATGGAAGATACGATTTCCAGGGTTTTTTTCTTACCCCAGAACCTGTACGTCTAAGTAATGGCTTGTTTGCTGACAGAGTTCCCAGACACTCTAGTCTCTTACAGTCACGTGCCACGATGCCGAGAGGACACGCCACAGATGAGAAAGAGATTTCAATTCGTATGCCATCCCCACTGACTGGCAGCGACGTCTGGAAGGCTGTGTTAGGCAGGACCGTCAGGCCACACTGGGGCTGGGACTGAGTGCAGTGACTAATGAGCAGTGGCCACCACGAGGCCAGGGTGATGGTGGCCAAAGGGCAATTTGTTTGCCATTCCCAATTTAGAAGTCCCTGGCTTGGCGTTCAGTTTCCAGGCTCATCACTGAAGCTGGTAACACGTTTGCCAGATACCAGCAGAGGAAGGGCTGCCTCCGACAGCATTAGGGAAGAACTGTCACTCAGTTGGCTCAGAGCCTGGGACAGAGATGAATCCTATAACATGCTGGCTCTCAAGGATAGTCCAGTTTACTGGGGAGGTAAGTATGATATCGCACAGATCTGGGTTAACATCTATGTAGTAACAGGGTGACCTTGGGCAAGTTACTTAATTGGCCTATACCTCAGCTTCTTCAGTTGAAAAGTGGGAACAGTGACTTCTGTATCATGGAATTACTGGAAAGGTTAACTGAGAGGATGTATGTCTAATGTTCCTGTACTAGCTGACACTTCCCAAGAACTGGGTTGACGTTTGCTATTACTACCCACAGTGGAGAGAGGGATGAGGGGCTCTAGGCAGTCAGGGGGAGCCAGAAGAGGCAGTGCTGGGCAGGCACAGAGGAGGAGGTTCCAGGCTGGGGTGGCAGGCATTCAAGGAGGCACCGAGGGACCACTCTGCTCCTGGGGTGGCAGAGGGAGGGGGACAGGGCGGCCAGGACAGTGCTTGGGGTCCCTGTCCCACCACCTCCAGAGCTGCCCCCATTCCCTCCCTTTGAGGCCAGCAGGCCCAGTGCCCTGCAGTGCTACCACAGGCCCTCACGGACAACGCGCCAGCCCACAGAGGCTGCGAGGGAGGAGGGGGCACCCACCGGCCCCATAATGGCTGTTTCTCCTCCCCTCGCATGTCCTATCCCTGAGCACAGCAGACCCTGAGGGGCTCTTGCCTTCACCTCTATCTTCTCCACTCAGGGATAATTAAGAATGATCTGCTAATTATTCAGGCAGCTGACTGAATGCTTCCTAACCCTGGGAGTCACCAGGTGCCAATCAGTAGAGAGAAAGGGGGAGAATGGGAAGAAGAGAGAGGGAAGGGAGTAAGGAAAAGAGGAAAGTATAGGGAAGGTGAAAAGAAGGGAGGAAAGGGAGGAGAGAAGAAAGGAAGAGGTAGGAAGTGCAAAGACAAAAGGAAGAAGGGGAATAAGCTTTGCAGAGAAAATGGGCCTTTGCCCAGGAGGAAGGAGTAAGACGGGGCTGTGGCTTCTCCTGTGGGGCTAACGGAAGTGGCAAGGACAGCATCCCAACTTCCACACGCAGAATCTGTCCAGCTCCTCATCGCTGTGCCACCACAACACCCTCTACCTCGTCATCTAAGTCGTGTGAAGCAGTGATGTCTCTGGGCAGATATTTGGGGGCCTGGCTTCTCCCAGGTGAAGATGGGGGCAGGTGAGGGCCAGAGAGATCTGCTAGGCAGGAAGAGATGCCAGGCCTGGGGCTGGAAGGAGCGGCTCCAGAAGAGCCTGAGAGGTACTTGTCATTCTCTCCAGTCTCTGCACAGCTCCCACTGCGGCAGAGCAGGAGGAAGGAACGCCAGTTTGGAATGCTAATTTTCCATGAGCTCACCTACCTGCAGAACTGGGCACAGGCTGCAGTGGGGCTGAGGGGCCCAGGCCTGGGCCTGAGGTGGGAGGAGAGAAAGAAAGGGTCTCTTCTCCACAGGGTTTACATGCAGAGGAGCATGTTTAAGTGGGGAGCTTTCCAAGCTGTTCACATCCCCACAAAAGCCCATGAGAAATGCAAAGCCCTCGTGCTTGTTGACTGTTGCAGGATGGGGATGGGGGCAGGCGAAACAAGCTAGGTCTAGGCACGCCCCACCCCACTCCCAGTCATCTCTGACTCCTTTTCCTTCATCCACAGTCCCTTCTGTCATCATGTCCTGGCATCGTTCCCGTGGAAATGCCTCTTACCCAGCCCTCCTTGCCTGCAACGCCCCACTGCAGCCTCATCCCTTCCATGGCCTGACCACAGTAATGCTTCCAGGGCGTCCCCGGAATCCACTCTTTCCCCTTCTTGTCCACTCTATGATGGTTGCCTGAAGAACCTTCCCCAAACCCTTCTGTTCCATCACCTCCCTACTCAAGAACCTGTCCAGGCTCTCTCAACTCCTGGATCAAGCTCACAGTCCATCCCTGTTTGGAGAAGCCCTCCTGGGCCCTAACTTACTTATCCCAACTCCTCACCCACTCCTCTCCTCCCTCCCACATCTCTACCATGGAGCACTCCCACAGCACGGCAGAGAAAGAAAGGAGCAATAAGCAAGCTCCCGAGGGCCCACAATCACAGCGGTAAGTGAGGCCCGCAGATGCACGGCAAGTTGACTTCTCACACCCTCTTCTGTTCTGCAATGGAGGAGCTGAAAGCATGGGACAGGCAGCAATGTCTGCGCTCTGGGGGCCAGGGTACACCATGCTCTGATAGCTGGGATACGCCATGCTCCGGGATACACTGTGTTCGGGCACACACTGTGCTCCCGAATACACTGTGCCCTGGGAACAGGGATACAATGCTCTGGGATACACCATGCTCCAGCATACACCGTGCTCCAGGAGCTAGGATACACTGTGCTCCAGGATCTAAGATACGCCATGCACTGGGATACGCCATACTCCGGCATATATGGTGCTCCAGCACACATCGTGCTCCAGCATACACCGTGCTCCAGGATACACCGTGCTCCGGGATACACCATGCTCCAGGAGATGCGATGCACTGGGCGCCGGTACACACTATGCTCCAGGATACACCGTGCTCCGGGATACACCGTGCTCCAGGATACACCATGCTCTAGGATATGCCATACTCTGTGCGCTGGGACACACTGTGCTCTGGGACACACCGTGCTCCACATTCTGCCTCTAAGCCTGTGGCACCCATTTCCAGACCCACCAGATGGCCTGCAGGCCCACATTCCCAGCCCCGCCTGACCACAGCCTGTCCCTCCTGTGGCCAGGTCCATGTCCCCTCCCTCAGGTCTTTCCTGACCACATGCGGGGGGCATGTGGTGTCCTTCACTAGCATCTACCTCCTCCTTATCCAAGCAGAATCCAGCACTCCCACAGGCTCCGTCCCTGCACTTCAGGTGACACTAAACCCAGAGCTTTAGGGTAATGCAGTGGGTCTCAACCTTCCTAATGCTGCGACCCCTTAATAACAGTTCCTCATGTTGTGGTGACCCCCAACCATAAAATTATTTTTGTTGCTATTCTATAACTGTAATTTTGCTGCTGTTATGAATCGTAATGTAAATATCTGATATGCAGGATGTATTTTCATTGTTACAAACTGAACATAATTAAAGCATAGTGATTAATCACAAAAACAATATGTAATTATATATTGTGAAATATTTATAATTCATTACGTGTCGTTTTA